TGACGAAACAGCTTAATTATTTACGTTCTATTCATGTTGCTACGGTATGTTTTTATATAATTAAGTACACCAGAGTAGAGTGATATTCAGAATCCTCTTTGTTGTATGTCAAAACACTGAGCCACACTTGTATTTACTGTCAGGAGCAACTATAAATAAAACCACATTTAGAATGTAACACACACGTAGTACAAAGGACCTTTCTGTATTTGAAAAAAACAAAAAAGGAAGCATTGTATCATGTTCGGTCCTGACTACTTGCCCTGAACACAACACGCTGTGATTTCAAAGCAAATGTGAATGGAGGGTTCGAAAGACGTTACTTCAACATCCTTTTCAAGTGTCTTGGGAATAGTGCATGGATAGTTTTGGCATTTGTTTTGTTGCACTTCACATGCAGAAAAACATTTATTTACTAAACACCTGGGGAAGAGTGATGTGGAAAGAGGGAATTATGTGATAGTGAACAATTTAAATATCAAGATGAATTGGATCCAACTGAATTCAAATACAACAGAGGGGATTTATTAATGACGACAAATAAACAGAAACAAATTGGCTTGTAATAAATAGACACACATTGCCAGGTATGTTTTGTTATTCCAGACAAGTCAAGGTTTGCTTTATTGAGTTGCATCACTGGACAGTCGCGTCAACATGTCCGCTATGTGCGTGCTGCAACGAGCCCGTGCATCAGGTCAGAGGTTGCGATGGCAAAAGCAAAGGCTACCGAAGTCGGTTGCAAACGTTCCCCGAGCAGCTAAATGGGTCCACATGATGTGTTTATGAAGCGAATCTGTTTGGAAATGAATCGTTAGTCTCGGTTTTCATGCTCAAATTAGCCGAGTCGGTCCCTGTCCTGTTTGCCCTTAATTAACAAGCGCTCAATTCCCCTATTAATTAGCACAAGCTATTAGGTATTTTACATCACTCTTCATTTGCCCACAATTAAAATGTCTATTATTAAAAGGCACGCCACATGGTTAATTGTGTGAGTGGCTCTGCGGCAGGATAGGGGAGGGGAGCAGAACGTCAGCAGGAAGCGGTGCTCTAGCTCAAACAAAAAAAAAGAGGACCCCGCCGCCTCAACAATGTCACACGCTAACTACGTTCGCACCCAGATGAGCGAGCACAGCGGTTCCGTAGGAGGACGGAAGGTGTAGCTCTCATCAGCCCAATAAATGGTTATTAGCGCTCGTGGCAGGGAACATAGATTTAAGGTTGTCGGACACAAGTTTCTGCTATGGTCCAAGTACTTACATGTTCCTTTGGGGATAATGAATCCATACAGTGCCGACTGTGTACATTAATTAAAACAGCCAGGAGTTATTGGAACAAATCGTGCTACATTCCAGCATCAGAATAATTTGCCTACACGACCCTTTTTGTCAGTGATCTGGTCGCCAATGATGGTGAGAATATGCTGTCATCCCCTACAAAGCTTCGGATCGATATTCTCATTTACAAACAAGTCTCAAGCAGCTCAACAACATGGACAAAAGTCCAAAAAGTGTCTCGGGGTTCCTTGAAAGGCGCTACAGAAATACAACTTTGGTAATATTGGTCTGAGATGTTTCCAAGAAGGAGAATTCAAACAGCGGAGTGGGGATATTCTTTCTGGTTCCCTCACCTTGCATCGCCTTCCTCGCCCCTCAAGCCTCTGCCAAGGCTTAACAAGTGGCAAGGGAAGCAGCAGGCCAGCGCTGCGTTGATTGACAGAACAATTACTGCAAACACGCACCCCGATGGAGAGGTAGACAGCTCCAAATAGAATTTCACCCGGCTGTTGCATCACACGCTTACAGGAATACTTTTGGTAGGAAAGCAAAATTGGCCTGACAGACAGACCGAATGACAGACTGACTGACTGTCTCGCTGACTGACGCCGAGTGAAGCTCTTAGAAACAATCCTGATTTTTGGTTGTCTACCTGTGAGAAACAAAAAAAAAGGGGGGGGCGGGACTTAGGGCTTTTTACCCTTGATCCTGTTTGCCTGCTTCCAACTATTTAGCAACCCAGTCCCCCCAACTGTAACTGTTCATCCGCTAGCTCAGTTAGTGCCGAAGCTATTTTTAGCCTCACACCTGCTCAACAGTGAGGGACAAACGGAATGAAAAAAAATGTGAAAATCGCCAGTATTTGGTAGATATAATACGTGGCGAAGTATATTATGATATCAAAGATTCAGACACACGGTCACTGGATAGTATTCATCTTCGACAGGTGTGACAGGTGTACAATGTTGGGAATTCAAACTGAAGCTTGTTTCATTTGTGATGACACTCCCAGTCTTTCATGGCGACACCCTCGACCGAGTGTTCCCCCTTGTGTGTTTTGTTTCTTGTTTGTTCCCAGTGTCCTTGTTTTTTACAGTATATGAGCATGTATGTGTGTGTGTGTGTGTGTGTGTGTGTGTGTGTGTGTGTGTGTGTGTGTGCGTGTGTGAGACACTCTAATGTCCAGCTCCTAACAGACCTGACATACATCAACATTCACATTAAAACAAATAAAACTATGCAACTGGCAAAAAAATAAATAAATAAATAATTGAATATACCATGTTTTAAAATGTTAGTCAAATGCCAGACATTTTCATTTATGTTGTTAAGGAGAAATCATTAAAGCGGACTCCAATTTGAATTTTAAATTGGACAGTGATTTTAAATTGGAATGGCAAATGTGTGCTGCTGTAAAAACATTTTTTTAATCCTAGCGAAAGTATAGCCTCTAATTTATGACAGCACTTAGAAACAGTAATCCATGCCTTCATTATAACTTGACTAGATGACTGGAATAAACTTAATTTTGGAGTCAGCCGGTCCTCCCTCAAGTATCTCCAGTTGGTCCAAAACGCTGCTGCTTGCCTCCTAACTGGAGTTTATAGGAGCACATAATGTAATATCAATTTTGGCCTCTCTCCATTATTTTAAGTAACTGTAATGAGGGGTTTGGTAACAAGAAAATGCTTATAATATTACTGATTTATTACATATGAAAATTTAAAATTTTGGTACAGATCTTAGCAAGTATCATGGAAGTTGTCATCTTTGATTTGCTTTTGCGGGCCACTTAAAACGATGTGGCGGGCCACATCTGGCCCGCGGGCCTTGAGTTTGATGGCCTAAAAGGAATATTCAAATAATGTGGTTTTTTTGTTCTCGGTCTAGAAGTGTGGTTATAGCTGTGGCTTCCACCAAACAACAGTAAGTGAAGTTCCTACTGCATTGTTAAAACCTTCGGTGGTTTAATCCACCTGGAATAAAAATTCATCCGTCCCACATTTCAAAGCGATCCAGTTCCTACCATCACGGTTGCCCTCCAAGACCAACGGTGGCTACAGGAGTCACGGAGTGAAGTAGCGGTCGAGAAAGGTGTGGATGAAAGGATATGGGATAGATTCTTCCATGTGTAGCTTTAAATGCCCTGCGGGACTTTAATCTGTCATTTGTCCCTCCCCGAGATGCCCCATTTTAGCCAAAGTCAGCCAAGCTCTGTAGCCTCAGGGTGCCATCGTGGTGGGGGCCCCGGGACACAAGGCACCTGTGCGAGGAGATAAAGGCTTCACCTCTCGGGCTTGTACTGATACGTGTTTTTTTTTTTTTTAAAGATAAAGATGGGAGGGATGGAGGTGGGGATGGAGGAATGATCTTTTTTGGTTCACCTGATGTCTGTCTACCTGACTGAGTAATATTACTTGCTTTTACTTTCTCTTCACCTTCTCTGTCGAGTTCCCTGTCAGTCTTGCTCCACTTTTTTTTTTCTTATCGCCGATTCCTTCTGTAGCGTCTTTATCCTGTCCTGTGTGAATTTGGATCAGGTGGGGAACGCTCTCGGCACTGTTCTTTTTTTTTTTTTCCTCTATATCGGCAACTGTCAAAACAAGATTATTACTTGAGGAGCTTTCTGAGCTTTGTCCAGTTGATGGAAAGTCAAAGCGGTGGCAGTGTTGAATGCATCTTGACCACTTTGTGGGGTCACAGAGAAGAAACGTTTTACAAATGCACGATTAGTTCATTTTAAAGAAGGAAAATTGTGCGCGCAGAGAATTTTTTTTTTCATCACGTTCAATGGAATATTCAATAGAGGCATTTTTATAATTGACAGTTGAAATGCATTTTACTATTTACTATTTGATCTGGGTACATTTGAGTCTCTTTTTTTTTAAACTTAGGTAAAGGTGTTGAATCATCACTTCAACTTTTAACCGTCTTTTTTACAGCGTGTGCATACTTTTGTCACTTGTGGCTGAGTGATATGATACAAGAGTATAAATTCACTTTGAGATGTCATCTTAAAGTATATGACACTCATACAACCTTTGGATCAACTTTTGGAAAATATGAACCACCGAAATGACATTTTGCACTCGTGGTATGGTTAGCACCTGTCTAATTTCACAGCGGGCAAAAGAGCGATGCAGAAGGGCGTGAGGAGCATCATGTCGCTTGTGCTGCATCACAGACAGCAGTTCATCTGTCCTGTCTACGCTATCGAGCCCATCGTTTCCGTCCATTAGACTGCAACCGGCGTGCCGCGGGAACGGCCGGCTCGGGGTGCTCGGCTAGGCAGACGCACGCGGCTCATGGGTGGCAGATGCCTAGTGTTTCTGTGGATGCCCTCCATCAAGCGGTGACAGATGTCAGGGCTCCTCTTTGGACGGCAACACTTCATCACACTGCAGTGTTTCTACCTCCTCGCCCCGCTGAATACACCGGCCTGCTTGGCAGACGCCGCATCCACACACACACACCCATACACACGCACACATGCTTTTCTGCTTCCATCAGTCATCCATATTACATCAGACAGCCATCATAGCGGCAACCGATGGATCACATGCTCACGTGTGTTAACGCTCTTGATCGGTTAGGTTGTACGAGCGCTGACACTGTGTTAAGGAGGGGTTATTTTGTTGGGTAGGGTTCTTAAAGCTGTTTAAGAATTTCTTTTTTTTTTTTTCTAAAAGGCACCTCGTGTCAATGTGGTAATTTGTCACTTACCATCTTGGCCTGCTGGTGGACTTCACAACAGGAGACATGCCATCTCTGTAGAGGCTCTTGGTCTTGGAGAAGTTGACCACATTGAAAATGACCCTCTGCAAGACAAACAAGGAAGACAACTCGGTGTCGTATGTGGCGAGAAAGAATATCAATTACACCAAGAATTTTCAGGATCTCAGGTTCGTGTGGTAAAATTTTACCCATGTTGTCACCCTCTTAAAATACTGGCCGAATACATATTTTAATGAAACATCTCCACCCACTTTGTTAAAATCAGCCACATTCTCGGTATTCAATTCGACGCCTGAATTGAAATGATCATAAATAAAATGAATCAGCATTTGGTTCCGTTTTTCGTGTTTTCTGAAAAAATTGACTTCAGACCATTATTGTAGGAAGCGAGGATTATGCAACAATTCTAATGCCAAATATTTTCATGAATAAAATATAAATTTGCAATCATTCAGTAACCCTTTGCCAGAGTGTATGGAAAAAAATGTTATTTTACAAGAACAAAGTAGGAATGTGGACACAAAATTAGCATAAAAGCCATAAATTGCTCTCAAAATATAAATGTTAATTCCTGCCACCGAACACGACAAATATGTTGAGGTGGCCTGGCCAGAACCACCACTGGTCCTGCATATTCATGTTATAATATACGTTTCAATAATTATTTCACATTGCATGTTATTATTCTTTATTATCTAAGCCCTTAAAAATATATTACTTCTATGTACAGTAGTTCCTTTGTTGTTTTTATTTTTTTGCAGTATAAAATCGAACAGAATAATATTCAGCACCCGTTTCCTCAACAGTGTCAGAGCGAGATCTCTCTTTTCTGTAACGACGTGATGTTACTTTGTCTTCCACTAATGCTTCCAATTCCATCACTTTAAATTTCGGTTTATGCTTGATGTGCTTTCCCAACTTTTCTTTGGTGAAAACCATCAAAGTGACAGTGCCTAAAGAGCAAAACCTTTGCATGACCGCAATCTCCATCTGTTGCCACTTTGTTCGAGTGAGTGAACATGCAATTTGGTGCCAACTATTTGGGATCTGTCTGTCAGGCGCTTTCAGAAGATGCCTAATTGATTCAAGTTTAATTTTACAGGGGTCCTCCATTTTGCAGCAGAGTTCTTTTTCTTTTTGACAACATGCATGATAGACATTCGCTAACCTATACTATTGCTAATTGCATAGTAACATCCTAACTACCGTAAATATTTGTATGAAAACTCTTCTATGAAACAATTAAATGAAAAAGAGCAATTACGGCAGTAACTGAGCTCGCCTTCTTGAAGCATGTGATAAAATATTCGTACGCTGCTGTGGAAACTTGTTCAGTGCATAACTAGGTCAGGAAACTGAGGAGGCCCTGTTCAACCACACACGTTTTCAATGTTGGAGGTTTCACTGGAGGTTTTCCTATACACTGTTATTTTATTTATTCTTTTTTTTTTTTTTTTGGGCAGAGTCCTACTCAATCTTCAACAGGCGCAAACCATCCCAAGATGCCTCACAAGCAATCCGCATTACAGTGAGGACATTAGGCTGCTTTAATGTCCTGCAGCTCATCCCGCGGTGCAAATAAATAAATAAATAGATTTTTTTTTTTTTACATACATACATATACAGTATATATATCCATCCATCCATCCATCCATTTTCCAATCCACTTTATCCTCACAAGGGTCGCGGGGGTAGGTGAGGGACACCCTGAACACGTTGCCAGCCAATCGCAGGGCACCCAGAGATGAACAACTATCAGTGCTCACACTCACACCTGATTGAGCACTAGGGAGTGCTCAATCATCCTGCCATGCATGTTTTTGAGGCTCGGGGAGAACATGCAAACTCCACATAGGAAGGCCGGAGCGAGAATCGAACTCGGTACCTCTGCACTGTGACGTCAATGCTTTAAGGGCCGCCTGTGTGTGTGTGTGTGTGTGTGTGTAACGATTAAAACATATATATATATATATATATATATATATCAAACAAAGCAGGGGCTAAGGACAACACTGCTCTCAACCATGGCTCTGACGAGAGAATCTTGAAGCTCATCTCTCGTGGACCAACATTTGCCAGCTCACGTGGAGAGAGGAATATGCAAATCTGTTTTGATGAAAGTCAAATGAATGACGACGGTAATACCGCACGGAGGTAAATGAATGTTATTGATGGGGCATATCAAATTACCAAGCAAGTCTAGGTGGTGAAAGTTAACTGGGTGCTACTGAAATCCTATTACAGGCTCGCCACCGTCCTCGCCCTCCCCGCCATCCCTCCTCCCTTTTTCCTCCCGCCTAGCATCAGAGGAACGAGGATTGCGGATTGTGGCAGGCTGATTCAGACCTAGCTAAAATGACATCTAACTGATGTTGAGACTGGCAGCAGGCTCCTGTTGCAGGGAGATAAGACCATTGCTGCTGGCATTTCAATTACACTTTACTGCCCCGCACATCTGTTGCGAGAGCTACTTTTCAGCCTTTTCCCCCCCTCAGGCAAATGCTGCATTACTTTGACTCCGCCGGCTTTCTTTGACTGCCTTCGCCATTCTTTATCCGCAACAAATTCAGATTGTCTTCTTCCTTTGCTTCACTCTTACCTACTGCTTGTAATCTATTTATTCGGCCTGTTTAACTCGGAGGAAGCCAGAGCTGGGCGGATGACAGACTCGCCGGCCTCCGACCAGCACGGGAAAGGCTGAAATGCAGCCAGAGTAATATAGAAAGAAATGGCGGAAGACAAAGAGACAGTGAGATAATGGCTCAGAAGAGATGCATAAGGGGTGGAAGACTGAAAAAGCACTTTTAATGGAAAAAGAAAATGAACTGGGTGGGCGGATGTGGAAGACAAAGACAAGTGAGTTTAATGGGAGACGCATGACAAGCGGAGGGCTACATTTTCCTCTGGTCTGTGACTCGATGAAAGCTTGGAATTAAACACGGAAATTTAACCAAAGGTCGTAACCTTGTATGACTCGTGTACTAAATGAGTCGTTTATAGAAACCAAGCACCGGATGATGGCTACGGCTAGAAAAGAAGTTGGTGACAAGAAAAATAGGGTAACCACATTTTAACAATTAAAGCCACCTTGATATATACATCCAATAATCGGTTTTATGCAGAACCCGTACCTTGCGGTACCTTGACTTACAAGTTTCATTTTATCCATGACCAAGCTCGTAAATTCTTACGAGCAAACTGAAGCAGAGCCAAGAAGATGGCAAACCGTTTTAGCAACATATCTGTTTGACGGCTAAGTTTGGCACTTCTTTTTGACGTTCCTTGATTGTACATTCCAAAAAAATAAAAAAGTGGTACTGTATAACATGTTACAGTCACACTCCATTAGGAATAAGTCATGTGACCAACAAAGCCACCATGGCGAGCATCCTTCGGCTTGTTTACACTGCCCTTTGCGAACAGTGAACGTCTTGTGCCCGAAAGTGAGGGGTGTGGCCTTGGTCAACAATCTTGCGAGCAGTTTTAACTTCGCAAACAGCTCCTGGAAGTCACTTATGTGTTACAATACGTTTGGATATGGCTAATTTCATGTCAAAGCATCTTGCTGGTTAATTGAGAAAAGTACGTGAATAAAAAGAGAGAACATCCACTGAATGTTGGCTTCCTGGATTAAAATGCTGTTTTAATAACATTGTATATATATATTTAAATGCATCTTAATCAATCTTAATCTTCTTGGGAAAGGCATAACATCGTCATCCAATGAATTCCACGAATGCTCACTGAGTGAGCGGCGAGCCCTGTGCACTGTTTGCAGTTTGTGCATTATCACGCAGACATAAATGTCACAGGGCGTTAAACAAACTCAGCGCTTAGCATCTGCCTCTTGCTACTAAATGCGCAAATGCCTGACGATGCATCTGTGGGTGAGCATCACACAATATACTGTATCCATAGACTCGACTCCACCTCTGTGCGCTGAAAGCCTGAAAGTAGTAAAACTCGCCGCTCCACCAACCCATGCGCGCACACACACACACACACACACACACACACACACACACACACACACACACTGCTGTGGGGCCAATTCCCCAGATCGTTAAAAACGTACGCGCATCTAAGACCAATTTAGACGCCGGTGTGCTGGTGTGTGTTGGGGCTATATGTGCGCGCACATGTGCAACCCTGGAAGATTTAATTAGGCTGGGAGCAGTTAGAAGAGATTAACATCCAATGCTGTCTGAGCTGTCATGTCACTGAGGCGTGTCAAAGCCTTCCGCTGCCCCCCATCACTGCATCAATGGCCGACTGGAACAGGTGTCTGTGTGGTGACTCCACTCACGTAGACACACACACGTAGCCCTGCTGGCAATAAGAAACCATAAACTTTAAATGGAAAGGGGGACAAAAAAGTAAAAATAAGTAAGGGCCTACACCAGAGATGGGCAACTTAAATGACGGAGGGAGGGGTGTCACAATTTTTTTCATCAGCGCTATTCGGGGGCCACACAGGACAATGCACGTAACACCTAGCCAGATGTATGATAAAAATGTTATTTTAAATGTGTTTTGTAAATGGCGGCGCGGGCACCCGCAGCGGCTCCTCTTGTTGTCTGTTGTCTGTTTAAGAGGGAGGCAATTTCATCTGTGCTGTATCACATTTGACAATAAAGTTGTACTTGATAAACACAAATAATCTCCCCCCCTCCAAAAAAAAAAAGACAAATGAACCTGCAAGATGAAGTTTCAGAAGCAGGGTTGCCCCCCTGCCCCCAAATACAAAAACGAAACCAAAAAAATTACGATTCTGTGGGGATGCATTGTAGTAGTTGAAACATGTTTGGCAATCCACCTTCCCTCAATTTAATTTTCTTTCTCAGAATGTCGGCCTACCAGTTAGTTGCTCATCCCTGGCCTACAACATATATATACTGTATATAATACAGTAAATACTAATATTTGCACCGTAAAATTACACACATTTATTCCCAGTAGTCTTTTTTTTTTGTTTCTCGTGGCTGCTATTTTTATTTATTTTTTTTGTCCAATCATATTGCAGCCTCTAGGCGCTGTCATGTCATGACCTTTCAGAATCAGCAGTGCTTGCCGATGTAACTTC